CTAATACTTATTTTGTTAAATCCCCATGGGAACGATATTATTATACTACTTGATAACTAATGCACTTGCTAGGGTTATATATTTATATCTATCAACACCATTAACACAGGGTGCAAGTGGGTGTGCATCGTAGTGGATGTGCTAACACTGCACACAACGCCCCATGCTGCATCATTTTGCACTGGGTGTGCACACCCACATTGCAAGTGGTGCCTCATGTTGTGTCGTGGTGCAAGGGATGTGCACACCCACAATGCACTTGTGACCATTGTTGCTCTTTCAACATATCACCCATACACACCCCCATGTCACCGATTTGGTTGGCAGTCCCAGACTTGTCTTTGTGCACCTATCTTGCATGAGACTAGCTCATCTTTTCATAAAAGTAGTGTGGGAGTGTTCCCTTTTGATTCCATGCAATCCCATTTTCTAATTGATTTTTTTAAATGCATCTACCAAAAATCTATTTTATTTAATACAAATATTTACAAATTAAAATTGATTTAATCCCCTAAATTACCATATAGATAACGTGTGTAAAACAGAATACATCAGAATGGTCCCATATTAAATACGAGGTGCTAATTATCTAGTATTAAATGAAAAAAAAAAAAAAACAAGTTACCTGTTAAAAGTTAAATCATAAAATATCCTTTTTATTTTGCTGCCATTTGAATGTAGTCATCTTTCCATAAAACCCATCTAATATTTTGATCCATTTGCTTGTAGATTTACTGCTGCTCAAAATCTAATTAAAGAATCAAAAACAAACTCCATATATAACATCACAGAATAGTGTAAAAGGTAGGATAATTGTTATAATCTGTCAACTTTAACCCTAGGCATCTGCAATTACATACCTTGGACCACAGAAGCATTTGTTAGTAACCAAATACTAACTTCACATAGTGGGAATTCTTTTCCCTTTTTTTTTTTCTTTTTTGATCATTTCCCCTTCCCCCACCCAATCCATGATAGTGCCAAATTTCATATCATTTACAACTGTGCCCACTGATTAATGGCAAAGAGATTCGGCTGTACTTCTTGATGGCAAGTTGTATCACCAATCATCTTCAAGGTTAGCATAATGAAAACACATGACAGTGCAGACAAGAATGAAGAATGATATGAACTCGATGAACATTGCCCCAGTCTCTATAAGATTAGCATGCCGAAGGATAGCAGGAATTGCGATACTCCCAACAGCAGATGCCCCGGTCAGGAATTTGGCAGCATCCAACCAGCTGCAAAATAAAAAGCAACCATCAGCTATGTTTTCTTGTTTCTTGACCTTGGTAACAACACTAATTTCTGGGTTTTCAATCATCTAACACTAACAGAGTATAAGAAAACTAGAAACGTCAAAAAAGAAAGGGTAAGTAGGCTTCTGAAAAAACTATCAAAAAATAACTTCTGTAAAGAAGAATAGAATCATATAAGTGATGATGCGCGATCTGGTCAAGTCCTAGTCGCCGGTTATCTCGCCTCCGACAGAGCTGAAGTTGCCTGAAACAAGGAAGGAACTGGAGACTTCCGGGGAGGAACCCGGTTGGGACACTCCGAAGCTCAAGTTAGTGCTCTTGAGAAGGCAAGAGGAAACAATGGATTCCAAGACTAGAAAGCACAAAATATCACATACATTCTTCCCTATGAGATGGGGGCCTTTATAGTCACCTTGTATACTTACTCCCGAACCCCTGTCAGTTCGGGTATCATTACCTCTGCCAAATCGGGTCACTTTCTCTGCCAGATCGGGGGTCATTTCGGGTGTCATAACCTCCACTGCCAGTTGCCAGTTCGGGTGTCATAACCTCCACTGTCAGTTGCCAGGGCCGTCCCTGCCACGTCTGAGATGGCGGTGGTAGGTGGCCGTTGGGGGGCGGCTGTCATGTGTCGGACCCCTAATCAGTCAGGTGCGCCGCCTCCGCGT